GGGTCAGAGCCTGGCCTCTGTAGGGTCAGAGCCTGGCCTCTGTAGGGTCAGAGCCTGGCCTCTGTGGGGTCAGAGCCTGGCCTCTGTGGGGTTAGAGCCTCGACTCTGCGGCAGAAGTGGGACTTGAGTGGATATATGGGGTTTCGGCTGTGAGTATAACTGTATCACGGGCTGGAGGCCAGCAGAGCTGCAAGTGCTAGGACCTCATAACACACAGGCGGACTGCATAGCACACAGGCGGACCTCATAGCACACAGGGGGACCCCATAGCACACAGGGGGACCCCATAGCACACAGGGGGACCTCATAGCACACAGGCGGACCTCATAGCACACAGGCGGACCTCATAGCACACAGGGGGACCCCATAGCACACAGGGGGACCTCATAGCACAGGAGGACCTCATAGCACACAGGGGGAACCCATAGCACAGGAGGACCTCATAGCACACAGGGGGACCTCATAGCACAGGAGGACCTCATAGCACACAGGCGGACCTCATAGCACACAGGCCGACTGCATATCACACAGGCGGACTGCATATCACACAGGCGGACCTCATAGCACACAGGGGGAACCCATAGCACACAGGCGGACCTCATAGCACACAGGGGGATCTCATAGCACACAGGGGGACCTCATAGCACACAGGCGGACCTCATAGCACACAGGTGGACCACGTCAGAGAGCCAACTAGCCAGGGTGGGTTGTGTCTAAGGGTGCCAGCCCCAGGAGCTCTGCTGAAGCACAGAGAGCAGATGGGAGCCACAGCAGGATCTGGAATAGAGGGCTGCTCATGTGAAATCCTGTTCCTCAAATCATTTCCCTTGACTGACAGCTGGGCCTCTGCACCACGACAAACCCATGCAAAGTGCTATAGCAAAAAGCCTCCCCTGATCTATGAAGGGTGCCCTCCTGGGGGCGGGGACACAGTGGCTTCTTTATTCAGCTCAAGGTTACAGCAAAGGAACAAAAGAAGTGCATTTTCTCTGTCCTGCTCTTTTCCTTCCCAAGCAGCAGAGAAAGCTTTTGTGCCTGCCTTCCTGAAGCTCCGAGGGGCTACGCGGCCTTGGCCTGCATCTGACCCCAGGCCCTGTCTAATTAGCCCCCGCAGGAGCCAGGCTGCCTGAGCGGGCCAGGCCAGGACCATGGGGCTGGAATGGGCACAGAGGTGTGTGGAGCTTTCTGGAAGATGCCATCTGGCTTCCTGAGCCCTCCTTCTCCAGGAAGACCCTGGCTACCTGAAAGCCAGCATCCATCTCCCTCTGAGATGTGGCTCAGCGTCCTACCTCGCTGATAGCAACTCAGATCTGACCTGGCCCTTGTCCTCAGGCCAGGGAAGTCTAGGGCTCAGGGGGCTGCCGAGGGGACAGAGCTTTCCCCAGAGTGATTCTGATCAAGTCACAAGGAATCCTTCCCTGCTTGTCCCCTCCTCTTCCCCCTACTTTCAGAGAGAGGCTGTCTCCGATAGTGCTCACAGGGTGGGGCCAAAGCCTGGTCCTCACCTTTCCCTCAGTCTTTTCCTGCTGCTGTCCCCCGACTGCCAGAAGCCTGTCCTGCCTTCTGGACTGGAGCTCTGGGCTTCGGATCACATGCTTGGGCAGCTGGGGTGAGAGTGAGAAAAGGCCACCATCGTTAACCCTACTCCACCTTGCCAAGCCCTGGCCTGCGGCTAGTCGGCATCCTCTTGGATGCCCCTTCTGATGTCTCCACGTTCCCCCAAAGCCCACACCTGAGTCTGGCAGCACAGATTGAGGTCTGGGGCTAGACCTTCAAGATACCATAGCTAGGATTCAAGTGAACTGGAGACAGTGGTCACTTACAGGGACTTCTCCATAAAGCCCCATTTCCTCCCTCCTGGGTTTTGAATGTGGCCTCTAGTGGCCTGGGTTGGGACTGGAGTCCCATCCGAAGGTTCCTGAGATGAGGACCATCTAGAAGTGGTGGCCTGGCCCTCCCCTGCATTGCCTCCTACTCACGCAGACTCCAGGAATTCCTCTGCTGGTTGCCTGGCAACATACCCCTACACACCTGCAGCCTGGAGGAGCTGACCCATCTCCCGGAGCCAGAGGGTATGGGGCAGACTTACAGAGCAGCTTTCAACTAGGCCCAGGGCAACCTTGGGGGCTGGAGGGGCTGGAGGGGCTGGGTCCCCTGGCTCCCCCATCTGTGTTGATAGCAGTTCCGTTTCCCAGCATGGGTCCTCAGGGACTGTTGCTACAACAAGTGTCTGCTTGGTGACCGGGCCCAACCCTGAAGCTGGTGGGAGGCAAACTATGGGGCCTCTTTCTTTTGTTCTGGGGTGGGGGACACTTGGATAGGGTGATGGAATCAGGCTGGGCTCACTCCTTGGTCAGGGGACTAAAAGGAAATGACAGGCCTGGGGAGAGCCCTGGGGTCCTTCAGGATCTTAGGCTTCCGATGCCACTACTTAGAGACCCTCCCCTCCCCCTGTTCTCCCAGTCCGATGGTCCCCTTTCTGTCTCCACTTTGTCCCCTTCTCACGCCTCTTTTCTCCCATCAGCCTCACCTCTTCCTTGCTTCCCTGAATCTCCCTGTGCTTTCCCCAGTAGCCTAAGCTGGGCTCACCCTCCTCCCACACCACACCCATGGCCCCAGCATCCCCCAGCTCTGCTTTCCTGATGGTCTGGACAAATTCCTTTCCCTTTAGTTCAGCGGCAGACATGGGTGGATGTTTTTGAAAGGAACTCTCTAGGAAGCAAAGGAAAACAAACCCAAACACCCGCAACCCAGCCCCTAGAAACGCAGCCTCACAGAGGCAGGGCTATCTATGGCAGCCACCGGAGCCTGGCTGCAGATCCCTCTCCGGGGCAAGAGCCTGGTTACACAGACCCCCTCCTAGAGCATGGGACATGGTGGCGGCGGCGGTGTTGCTGGTTAGCCTGTCTATCCCAGACATGTGTGGCTTAAAGCTTTTTATGCTAGGATCCCACCAGGAAGCAACAAGATGCCTTGGCAGGAACAGGGACTTTATAAAGATGTAGTATGAGTTTTAATGAAGGAATAGATGACTGTTAGGGTTCTCTGGAACCTCAGGGTGGCACAGAATTGCCTCTGAGACACCCCTACTTCAGAATCTCTATTCTCAGGGGCCTCTGTCTTCTGTCAATATTGCTGGCATATACTAGCATGAGGGAAGACTTTTTCTGGGGTGCTGGCTTCATTTTTCACTTCATTTTTCTTAGTGCAATGGGGATGGGCAAAGGCACTGGGCAACCCACCCCACTCAGTAGTCAAGCTGGCCTGGTGAGGTGGGAAGACCGTGGGCCCTGCTACTAATTCACTTAGGCAGGTGACTCAACACCTCCGGGCCTCAGGTCCGTTCTGTGAGATGGCGGTCACTGCACCCCTCAAGTGGGGCTGTCAGTGGACTACATGAAGGTGTGAAGCTCTGGGTGCACTCCATGGCACACAGGAGTGGCTCCAGAAATAGCATTTCTCTTTTGTGTGACTCACGAGGGACTCTGGCGGGCCCAATACTTCCCAAGAGGGAAGTGAACATGAGGCTTGGTGTATGGTCATGTGCCTCCCTGATAGTCAGTCACCCAGCAGGCACTAAATACAGGCTCAAAACCACCCCAACCCTTCCTCTTGGCTTCTCCCCCTGGCTGCTGCCTCCTGCTGTGCGTGCACCTCTGCCCTCCCACAAATCCAGGGCCAGGAGCCCAGGAGAAGGCACTGTGCCGCTGATGGCTGCCCCCTCTCCAGCCAGCCTTCAGCTGTTGTCCCCGAGGGGCCCTGGACCCCTTGTCTGCCTCACTGCCAATCGATCGAATGTTCTGCCATCCTCGGGCGTGCCATGAATTTTTCATCAAAAGCCTGTAGACTTTGGGAAACGCACAATTAGAAGCACCATCAATAATGTACCACGTGGAGGCATCCACAGGACGCAGGCAGGCCCCAGACGTGACTGTCTTCCAGTCTGCTCTGGCAGGAGGCAGGGGGCCCTGAGTGCACCCTCGGGGCCCGACTCTGGATACAGAGCAAGTGCAGCTGTTGTGAGAGAGAAACACCACACCCTTGGCTGCTGGAGCCGGCTCCTGGGAGCCCAGGCCAGCCACAGGAAGACTAGTCTGATTTGGGGTGTTTTGTCAGTCAAAGGAACGCTGAAGAGTACCCTGAGCTCATCCCTTGCCCCATAGAGCGTGGTAAAATGCCAGGCAGTTTTGTGAAGACTCTGGGTGGGTTGCGTTGGTTTTTGTGGACCTAGGGAGTAGTTTTCCAGGATCCTGGGAAGCAGGGCAGGGGCGAGGCTAGGTTGAAGAAGCAAGGTCAGGGAGACCGGAGATGCTGGTGGTGCCTCCCACAGCCAGCTCAGCCTTCTAAGAACTCCAAGGTCAAGGCTGTGCTGTAGCAGGGATGTAGTGATGCACACCTGTAGTTCTAGCACTTGAGAGGTGGGCGGGCAGAGGGAAAGAAGGTGGAGGCTACCTGGACTACACAGAATTCCAGGCCAGCCTGAAATACAAAGTGGGGTCCTAGCTTGAAAAACAAAAACAAAAACAAACACAAACAAACAAACAAACAAAAAAACCACACTGAGGGCAGAAGCTCAGTCTATTCAGAAAGAACAGTTCAGTGATGCCACGTCGTCTCAATTCTCTGGGTGGAATGCTGGAGCCACCAGGCTGGAGCCTGGCCTGCCCCATCCACCCCGAGGAGCTGTCCAGCTCTAGGCCCCTGGGCTACCCCTTGCTCAACTGAGTTGAATGTGGCTTCTTTGGCCTTCCCAGTCCTGTGACCAAAGTGTCCCTGTTCTTAGAGCAGGGACCTGTCAGATGCTGCGGGGAGCAGAGCTGGAACCAGGTTGGAAGTCCTGTCTCTTGGCTCCTGGGACACCTGTGCTCTGCGCGATCACTGGGTGTGAGAAGGCGGCTTCCTCTGCAGGGCTGGGATCCAGCCCGCTGGGGTCAGGATGGGGGACAGGGTTACAAGGACCTCAGGCCAAGTTTGGCTCAGCAGGGTGAGAAGCAGGGGAGGGGAGAGAGGAGGGGGGACAGGAAACCACGCCTTTGTCTTTGGGGATCCTGGATTGACCTTCCCTGGTTGTAGGAAGAGGGTTGCTTGTCTCTACTCTGCCGCCCATCTGAGGGGGAGGCAGGCCCAGCAGCTCTCGATAAGGACACATGAAAAGCACAGATGGTACCAACAAGTGCAAATTAATTGAGCAAAGCCTGTGTACACAGGCGCTGTGAACAGGCGGCTGGTGGGGGGAGGGGCTGAGGGGGGACAGGGGCAGGGAGCAGGGAGAAGCCTTAACGAGCACTTATCGATGTCTCGCTGGATCCACAGCCCAGAGCACAGTTATTGACGAAGCCTGTCTATAAATCTCCCAGCCATGTCTCCAGAAGCCTTAATTACGGGGCCTCATTACCCTTCACACCTCTAGGCTCGCGGGGACCATCGTGGACAGGGGTGGCTGACAACACTGTGGCTGACCTGTGACAGCCTTGCTGAGCCTTTCCGTGAAAGGTGCCCAGCTGGGATGACTGGAACGGTTTGGGGGCTAGGTATCCAGCGGAGCAGGTGGGGTTCAGCCTCCTAGGCAAAAGGCAGGGTGTGGATGGGATTCTGGAGCCAGAGAGCTCTAAACTCCTGATCCAGTTTGTCCAGTTACTGCAGACTCCAGTGAATATCTCCCCTCTCTGTGCCTCAGTTTACTCCTGTACCAACAAAGAGAGGATTTTAAGAAGATTAAGGGCCAGTGTCTATCCGAGTCTAGCTCATATATGAATGTCACGCTATCTGGCCACAGCAGGGCCCTGGGGCTCTTCTGTTGCACATACCATTCCAGCACCATGCCAGGCCATCCACATCGAGAGAGAGAGGGAAGGCACAGGCATTGTCCCGTCCACGAAACAATGGCCCCACCTCTCCCATTCCTACCTAACACAAGCAACTACTGCAACTTCACCCGGGACAGTTCCAGCCTCACTCATGTCCTCCTGCCTTCTAGGTGTGAATTAGCAAGAGGGTAATTATATTCACAGAACTGTCTGGCCCAGCAGCAGCAGCAGCAGCAGCAGCAACAGCAGCAGCAGCAGCAACAGCAGCAGCAATTACAGTCCTGCTCTTTCCCACCACACTCAGAGAGCCCTGAAGCTGCCCAGGAGCCCCCTACACCAGCCAGTCAGCTGACATGGGGGATGGCAGCTGTGTTCCTGTGGGGATGGCCAGCCACTCATTTGTCCCTTTGCACATTCTCTTTGGGAGAGCATGCTGCCCAGGCTTTAACTGGGGGCTATTTTTTTTTTACCCCCTCACCTTGGATTATTCTTGTGAAGCTGTGTGGTTGTTGCTTCCTACTCATTGTCTCTAGGGAGGCCTCTGGCCAGAGAGAAAGCCTGGGTCAGGGACTGTGGATGGGAGGGATCCTGGTGGTATCTGCCTGCTCTCTGTCTGGGGGAAGGAGCCCTGGCTCCATATCTGGGCTCTTTGGCGACCGGAAGATCCCCTTGAGCCTGGTGGTATGTGTGTGGATTGGTGGGTGAGCTGAGGTGGCAGCTGGTGCTACAGTGGATGAGACCTGGCTCCACTGAGCATCTGTTAGCCAGTCTTGGAAGGGTCCATTGAAAGGAGGCAC